CTAGATGTTATAGAAAGGCAGCATATTCTTCTCAATTATTTTAAGACCTTGAGTGTTTGTTCGACCAGGGCTCGAACCCTTGACCTCCCGCACATCAGTCCAGCGCTCTATCCATTGAGAGGACCCTCAATATCGACACTCTTTTCCGTTTTCTTAACAGCAAGCCTGCACTTCATTCAAATACTTTATTCAGTTTTCTGACACATACACAAATTGTCATCGTGTAATGCATAAACGTTGTTGATGAGGCCCTCTGGTATAGAGGGCCAAGCTGCAAACATCGTCAATTTACGAACGAGGTTTTTAATGCAATGCTGAACACGTTTCCTTTCCTGAAAGCTACCTGGTGTGTCACTTAGCCGAAACAAAAATCCGCATTACACCAGCCGCGAACTATTTCTCATTCACACAAATTTGGTAATTTTTTGTGTATCGTGGGCAAGAAAGTAATCGACGTGGGACCACGTGGTTGTCCAACACCTTTGTTGATATTGGAAGCAACTAATTTGACCTGTACCCCATTTACCCATCAACCTTTTATGTGTGCGTACATCGATTTTTTTTTTTGACTGTTTCCTTCCTGATTACAAAAGGGGCAGCATATGAGCTCTCTTAATTTATTAGATTTTTCAAAGTCACCAAACTATGTTTTATAAAGCATTTTCTAGGGCTCTCCGATCATTCATCTTCGTACTCAGTTGACGACTCAGCCTTCTTTTTTTTTGTTATTCATGAATAACTGATTTTTTTCTTTCTCTTTTTTTGAAATTCAGATTTCAGAATGCCAGTCAACAAGAGGAATTCAGTGGAGATGGGAAACATATTGTAGAATCTCTAATACGTAGTATATATAATAAAGAATAGAGCTACATGATCTGTTAATTGTAAAAAATAAATCATGAAATTGCACGCGAAAATGGCTTTGAAATTCACTTTTTTTGCTGAGGTTTCGACAGCTGATAACCGCGTTCGAAATGCAGAGATGCACTGCCTAGGAAAAGAGGAACTAAAGGTCTCTGCTGAGATCTCTCGTACCCCTGTTGTTCAAAGCTATATAAGTTACAATATTCCAAGATGATTCCAGAACTCAGCATCAAATCCAGCCCTTACCTTCTTTACTAATTCCTTGCCATAAAACTTCCTATTTTGCGTTTCAAGTTCTGAGGCATTTACTAGCAACATACGAAAGGCCTGATCGCCAAATGATCCAGATTGAGAAACAGCTAGCCTCTTTGCATCTCTCGGCTTCAACTTCTTATTTTGAATCCCAGCTTCAGAGACATTTAGAAGCGTTAATAACAGGTTTGAATAGAAGTTTCAGAGAAAAACCCACGTTACTTAATGAAACGATCACAAAGACATTGTCGATCATTTAGAGATCCAACGTTATTAGATTACCCTAGGTAATGTGGACAGACCTCATTTAAGTTCTCGGCTGCGATTGCCTGGAACAAACTGCCAAGAGATATATGTGAGCTCACAACACTTACACATGGACGGCTCCAATCACATTTTTACAAGTTAAACGTAGATTTATTGAATAATTCCTAAACAAATCTTGTTATTCAATTGTAAACTGCATGCTTTTTATTTTTTATCGACTTTTGTGTACCCATGTGTACCCATGTGTACCCTGTGTACACATGGGTACACATGGGTACACATGGGTACACATGGGTACACAGGATACACAGGGTACACATGGTACACATGGGTACACAGGGTACACAGGGTACACAGGGTACACAGGGTACACATGGGTACACAGGGTACACAGGGTACACAGGGTACACAGGGTACACAGGGTACACAGGGTACACAGGGTACACAGGGTACACGGGGTACACTCCTTCCCGTAAAACAACTTGTAAATAGTAATAACACCCAGAAACTGTCAATGACCTAGCTAATTTCCCCTGTGTTGGGTCTCCTTCACTGGTCTACTGCACAGAGGAGCTAGCCTTCCCGTAAAACAACTTGTAAATAGTAATAACACAAAGTAACTGTCAATAACCTAGCTAATTTCCCCTGTGTTTGGTCTCCTTCACTGGTGTACTGCACAGAGGAGCTCACCTTCCCGTAAAACAACTTGTAAATAGTAATAACACCCAGAAACTGTCAATGACCTAGCTAATTTCCCCTGTGTTGGGTCTCCTTCACTGGTCTACTGCACAGAGGAGCTAGCCTTCCCGTAAAACAACTTGTAAATAGTAATAACACAAAGTAACTGTCAATAACCTAGCTAATTTCCCCTGTGTTTGGTCTCCTTCACTGGTGTACTGCACAGAGGAGCTCACCTTCCCGTAAAACAACTTGTAAATAGTAATAACACCCAGGAACTGTCAATAATCTAGCTAATTTCCTCTGTGTTGGGTCTCCTTTACTGGTATACTGCACAGCGGGCCCTTTGCCGTTAATTCACTTAATCGAGTTTTAATTGAGTTTTGTTCTGTATATAACACTAAACATTGTATAAATAAAGTTCCTTTTCCGAAAAAAAAAGTACTGTCTGCAGTTAGTTATAAATATATATATTATTGATCTAATTCGTCAAGAAAAGCGGATTAACTTTGATCATAATAAGCTCTGGAACAATAAGCTCTGAAAACGGTGGAAACAGCTACAGAATACATGCGGGATTTTTCTAAAATTTCCTTTTACCGTACAAGGGGCAAATTCAAACAATCGGAAAAAGAGAAGGAAAGACAAATCCTCCCCATGGGGGGGGTGTAGAATTTTTTGGATGCAAGTAGTCACGGTAGGGTGGATGATGGGGCGACTGTTGCTTTCATAACTGAAGTAAAGAGATGCCACTGTTTTTTCCTTTATATCAGACATAACTAATAAGAGGCTCGCTGTGCGATACAATGGTAATTACAGCATGTGTGTTGACCGGTATGAACGTCCGAAGCTTCGCGCGCCGTTCAATCATTTAGAAGCGGTACTGTCATTCGCTTGACAGTCCAATCTTAATGTCTGTTCATAATGCGCAGAAAAAGGCTGAATAATCTCCATCCTCTAATGTATGTTTTAAACCCGATATTAACGTCTGAAGCTTCACACGCCGTTAATTCATGTAGTATCATGGGTATCATTCTCTTTTTTTATTTCAACTCAACGAATGGAATTAACAAACCAAAGGCGAGCGGAAATGGTCGCACACACTCCCACGTCACTTTCTCCCTTTTGACTCGACTTTTCAATCCGAGTGTATCAGTTAATTTTATGAATAAGAGGTGGAGATGTAAACTCTACTAGTAACCATTTTCAATGATTTGCTGGATACTTTAGCCTTCTAAGATCAGGTCAACGATAATTTTTCAGATGTGGGTCATTTTGGCGGGAAAAATTCATCCATCAAGATCGTAGCCAGAATGTGGCCAATGTGGCGTGGTAGCAAAAACAACAAATCATGATGTTCACAATTTGAACTTTTTTTTAAATTAGATGAAGCCACTGATGAACACTGGTGAACACTGGTAAAGCTTCACGGAACAAACATTTTCTTGAATTTTGTCAGGTCATCTTTTCTTTAAGTCTCAATGGACCGCTGCGTTATCCAATCGAGTGCGAATTGTTACCTGAGAGCCAAGGCTAGAGTATTTTCTAATTATATGGGGAGTTTTTCTTCTTACGAGATCAGTTACAACTTGGAAAGATAAATCAATGTAAATTTTAAAGAAATATGCGGAGAAGAAGGAAACAATGTTGGTTGTGTCGTGTGTTTCGTTAACCTTCACTTTCCAAGTACTCTTCGCTGTTTTGTACGTGAGTTCATTTAAACAGCTCTCAGTTTTAACGTTAAGCGTTAAAAACGATCGACTGAGTTGTTCTAAACATTGCCTTTTGATCATAATTTTTCTTCTCAAGGTCCCTGACATTCAGTTTTATTAAATTTTTTTAAATACATGATGATATACGAAACACAATAGATCTCGGATGTTATGGCAAATACTTCACTCGCTTTCCAGACGTTCTTTCTAGTGTACTGTCATCTATTGTTTCTTGGCTCTGTTACTGTCATATTGCCGTGAAAAACATTAACTATTTAAGTCTTAGAGTTGACCAACACTTAAACTCCTCCTTGTGATTCCAAAATATTATCTTGTACAAGGATTATGAGAAAAGCTTGGCTTATCAGTCGTTGGGTGCTAACATAACACTACATTCCTCCGTGCAATTTAGAAGGAAATGTATGGCAACGCTAATTGGATCCTCTGAGTTCAAAACTAAAATTTTTTTTAACTTAAATTTACGACTGTTTACTCAGTCGTAAATAAAAACCTACTATATTGCAACTCATAGTCCTCGATATCAACCAAATAATTTTAATTTGATAAAATTCAACTTAATTGAACACGATCAATTATTATATTACATATCCTAGGTAAGGCTACCTATCTTATTGGCCCTCGATTGATATTATGGCAGACTGTAATCTTTCCATTTTTCATCAGAAATATTTTTTTTGCATCATGTAAATTATTTAAGGGTACAAACAAAGTTTTTGTCGCTGAAATATCTGTTAATTGTGAAGAATGAGATACAGAGAGTGCTATTTCTTGTTCTTTGCTTTCTAGTAGTTGTAGACGAAAGTATGGAATTATTATGAATTCGAGCAATTGCAAATAATCGGCATTTTTACACAATATAGGGGGCCAACTTTTTTAAGCAATATTTGAACAATGTAAAGCTATAGAAATTTAACCAATGAGAAATTGTTTCCCTGTGTTACAAATTAGTTCAAGACATCCATGCGCCGATTAATTGACAAGAAGTTAGTGAATATCTTTTTGAGGAATTTTACTTGCCACAAAATCATTGTTAGTTATTACAGAGAGAGAATTATTATTTTGTTAGTCTGTCAACAATGAGGGGTAGAGTTGCCAGGTTTCTGCCCTACGTGGGGTTGCATTTTTGGGGAATTTCGGCCTAATTGGTAGTTTTATTTTCAATTAAATGTTGAATACACTCCTAAAACCTGCACTATTCATCTGACATACACTGGAACTGATTGGAAAGGTAAGGTTTTATCGCTTCCAACTAAGTATTTCCTTTGTTCTATGTTGAGTAAATTTTCTGTGTCAAGGTTCTAAGGACTTAATAACTGAAGGTGGCCAAAAGCATGGCAAGTCAAATTAGAATACGGCTGGTATTTTTCCTGACGGAGAAAGAAATAATGGGAATACTCTCGCCGAAGCAAGATATTAAAAGAAAGGCTTTGAAAAAGGCGACACAATTTTAAATGTTTGATCTAAAAATTTCCTAGAAATTCGTCCAAAAATTGAGTTGCAACTTCGTTTGGAGTTCTACCCCTCAGTTTCTAAGAAAGGCACAGATGTGGTCTATTCCGGAGACAAAGGCTCAAAGATAGAAAGTCAATAATTAGCTCCTTGAAATGGAACTTGGTTGTATGGAAAACTTCACGAGTAAAAACATAAAATTTTATATTTTTGAGATTCAAGAAAGGTCAATCGACGGATCACTTTTGTGCGAAATTTCAACCAGCCAGGTGTCACTACTGATGAGTTGGCCCTCGGAGGACTCGTAAGCTTGAGGACGAATAGACTAAAAAGTGCCCCGCATTAGAAGTTTTCAGGACTAAGTGAAATTTAAGAATAATACATAAACACACACGGGCCTTTGTATCTAAGTACAAGGCATATTTACCGTTCACTGCTTTTTCAGGAATAGCAATTTGGTTTCATTCTCTTTCTTTATAACTTTAAATCGATATTTATGTTTTGCTATCCTTTTTGCAGAATCAAGACATGATAATACAAGTAAATTACGTTCAAAATTAATCTCAACAGAAAACGTTTTTGTAGGACAGTAATTTATGACTCTTCATGATACCCTTCTACTTTTCCAACAGATGCCAGTTATAGGCAAGGTCATTCCTGTCCTGTGGCTTATCGTGTTGGCCGCAGCGAATCTTGTATTCACCCAAGGTAAATAAGGTTATAATCCTTGCCACTATGATAATAATTTTTTTTCGTCTCTGCTGATAAAAAAATCGATTTACTTATTCAATTTCCTTCTTTTTTTTTGCCCGGTCCCTTGGGAGGCTTTTTGTAAAAGATTTGTGGTTTGTGCCAGCCTCCAAGCTAAAAATACAATGAAGCACGGACCCACTGTTTATCTTACTTTAAATTTTCCTCTCTTTTTAATTTTAGCTCATCCACCAGCTTCATTCAGTACTTCCAATGTTTTTATTCTCCTCGTTATTGTCTTATCCTGCTGAAATTCTTCCAATTATGGATTCATCATCAGTAGCAATTAGTAAAAATTAATTAACACACGCCTGCGCTCCAATAAGCGCCCTCCCACTATTAAGCGCCTACCGGCGCTAGCTCATAATTAAAAGAAGCGCCCCCTAGCTCGAATAAGCGCTCCCAGTTCTCCCAAAAACATAGCAATTGCCACCTTTTTATGATTTCTTAGGCTACAACTACGGTTGAATCAAAACAAGGGAAAAAGAACGCTCCTGGATTAAGCGCTATCGTTCCCAAAAGCCCAACCACCGCCCCCTCTTTTAGCCGAAAGTTTAGATAAGCGTCCGAGCACTCATTCGAAGAAATACGGAATTAGCAAATGTCAGAAATCTACACGAGGAACGAACAACTCACACAAAATTCGCCTAAATTACCAAAACTGGTTTCTTGGCTAAGTTGTTAGAAGCACTCAACTAACTGGCATATGTAGACATTGGTTCATACTCGCCTTCTTCTGCACTGACGTTTATTGCAAATTATACAAATTTTTGCGTCTCTCTTTTCTATTTGAGAGTTACTAGGCCTTCATCTATTCCCGGTGAATAGTCCTACATTTAACGAAATTTTTGGTAAAGTATGCCTGGCAAAGAGATTGATTGAAAGGCTCACCAAACATAAATTTTTAATGTATTTTGCTCTTTACTTAGCCGCTTCATCCGATTGTGAGAATCCTCCATTAGACATATCTATCGTGATCGATCAAACAAAGAGTGTGGGAGCTCAAAACTATGACGACATGTTGGATTCGGTCATGGCCCTCATTTCGAAGTATGATGTCGGTGAGGAAAAAACACACTTCTCCATCGTAACTTATGCCGGGGAGGCAGAAGTTCGTGTCAGTTTTGACGACCCGAAGTATCATAGTAAAGTGGCTCTTAATCAACTCATAGAAGAGATGAAGGACAAGGACAAGTTGGGGAGCCCAACTAGGACCGACAAAGCACTGAAACTAGTCGGCGAGGAAGTGTTCAACGAAAAGAATGGAGATCGACCAGAATCACCAAACGTCATGATCATCTTTACTGACGGCGGAACCCATAAGACGTCCGAGCCCTACAGCACGGTGCTACCAACTCTTGAGGTGAGATCCTAAAACTGAGAATCTCAATTTCATCAGTTAGGTGAAATAAAAGAAACGCTACATCAACTCACATGCAAATAATGACGAACGGCGATAGAGAGCGGCCAAATGAATTCTTTTTTATACAGTCTACCTTTTCAACTTAAGATTACATTAAAAGGCCCTTGTAGATTCATTTTCTTTTCATCGTGTTACTTTTTGTTAAGTTTAATCATTGCTTGCCTTCGCAATCGCTATAGCAAGTTCAAAGCGTCATGACCTTGCTCCCCGATAGCTCGAAGGTAGTGGTCATACGACTATCGACTGTTTACATCTTTTCCGATAAGGTAATTTGGGATTAATAAAGAAGAGACGAAAAATAGGGCTCATAAGTGTAATCTCCCCAAGTAGAAAGAAAGAGTACAGCGTGTGGCTGTTGGGATTGGTAAGGACATTAAGCAGAAAGAGCTTACAACTATTGCTGGAGACGAGAAACGTGTGGTTAATGCCAAAAATTTCGAAGACTTGAACAACCAGTTGGACAATATTCGCGAAGCTACTTGCAGTAAGTATCATTTTTCTTCAATTAAATGAAGATGAGCTGACGTTGCTGTTTATGTTCTATCTGCTGCTTCTGCTACATCCTATAATAGGGACTTAAAGCAGTCAGGACGGCAACGCCACGGAAGACGTCGATTAAAAAATGAGTTTCTACTTTTAGTTAGAATTTCGAAAATGGCTACATGTGTTTACCATCTCATAGGGCGCCAGACCTCAAACTCAACATAACGCATAAAAGTAACGTTGAGATCCAAATGTAAATTAAAATAATTTGCCGCGGCGGTTTCGCTTCGCAGACGACGCAAATTTTGGTGATTTCACGTTATTGTTTTGCAAAGTACGGCTAAGAAATGTACAAAGTTTTAAAACGCACGTGCTGGGCTATTGTTCTGCCAATTAGATCTATTGTTTTTCCACGTTCTCGTTACCGTCGCCGTCGTGGTTTGCTTAAAGTCCCTAATACTGATAAATAGACGAATTATGAATTAAATACTTTTAGGGGAGACCTCACTGCAGAGATAAAGACACTATTTCGGTTTTATTCACTTTCTTTGGGAAAGTGGCGGCAACTAAATGATATTTACACTGTTTGGCAATGGTGTATCTGTTGTAGTTCAATTTTATACTTGGTTCAAATTTTATTTTCCTTTGTTCTCGGTCATGTTAATGTATAATAAAATTTGAACCAGGGATAAAATTGAACTAGAACTTATCCCTTGTTTTTTAACTCGTTCTCAGTAAATTTCTTAAAAGGGAAAGCTCTGATAAAAAAAAATAAATAAAATACGCACAATCGGGCCAACAATAAACCATTTGGTAAAAACAGGAGTATGAGGTACGCATGTTCAGGATTTGTGTTCAAACAAATTTGAAAATTTTACATTAACTTCTTTTCCAGAATGACAAAAATCGGAGCAAATCTCCTTAAGCTTAGTAAAGGTTAACTGGTCCAGCCATACAAAACTTATTCCGGTTTCCTATGAATGAAGTGACAAGAAGTCTCTCTACTCATCCCTGGATAGGATGCTAACTCATCTCAAGATCATCTTAATATTTTATTGCTGCTGTATTTTTAGACATTGATGGGGGATACACCGAGTGGTCTGAGTGGAGTGAGTGTACAGCGACTTGTGGTGGGGGAACTCGTTATCATTCAAGAACCTGTACCAACCCTTCTCCAAAAAATAGAGGAAAAACTTGCGAGGAACAAGACTTAGGTCCTGCTAAGGAATCTGAAGAATGTAACACCCAAGAATGTCGTAAGTATGGCGTAATCATTTCTCTACAAATAAACCAGGATTTGTCCTTCTCTTAAGCATCATATCCTTACCACGCGAAGTGAGTACACTATTAATAGTAATATTCAGCACTTTGGTAACGCAAAATTGAATTGTTACGAAGGAAGTTTAAAACTTCAATTTTACCTCCTGCAAAAACAACGGAAAGGATCTTATTTTTACGGTTCACTGTTCAGACTTAAACGTCACAACATAACAAGAAATTTATATTTTCAAAAAAAAAAGGACTATCTGCTGGCAAACAGAACTAAAAGTGGGATCGCATCGCGTTTGAGCTTACGAAGATGCCGAAGTTGCATAGTTTTTCATTGATCTTCGGGGGTAGACAACAGCCGTCTTGGCATATTTTGAACTTTTCAATTTTTCGGACAAGGCAAAACGCGCATAGAACTTTTCGATATATTTTTAAAAAAAAAGTTCATCAAAAGAGCCATTTATATAACTAGGAAAAAATTAAATGAATTACGGAATTTTGCAGCTGTCGGCGAATTCTGGATATTTAATTATGGTCACGATCAGTAGCTCTTGACATCTTTGTAGTTAGCAGAAACAGGTCCGCTTTAAGTTGGAAATCCAATAAAGGAGGACCAACATGCATTTCTTGATGAAATTATTCCACCCACCTTTAAGAGCTGTAGGGGCTGGCCTGATCAACTAATTACTTTCCTCAGCCGTACCTGGTGGTTATACAGATTGGTCTGAATGGGGGGAATGTAGCGTGACATGTGGTGGAGGAGTTCAGACAAGAAAACGGACTTGTACCAATCCCCCGCCGTCGGGTGTTGGGCCAACGTGTGTTGAGCAAAACTTGGGACCAGCAGAGGAACAAAAGAAATGCAACCCACACGATTGCGGTGAGTTAGTGTGAGGCACGGTAGTTTTATGGTTACCGCGCTGAAAATTGGATCTAAGAGTCATAGATCCAACCATGAACAGGTCATTGTATTTTCGGTAAAATATTTGTCATTCGCGGGGCTTTATTTCAAAAGCAATCCTAGAACATAGCATTTTAAAATGATGTAAATCTCTTTGGTACCAAAAATTTTCGACAATCTTTCGAATATCTAGGACGTGTGTTGTGGCAGACTGAGCCTTTGGAGGAGACTTTAAATGAAGTAGAATCATAAGAAGTCTGAGACTTTGAACGTGTTGTAGGTATAATCGAGGATGTATATTCCCTGATCATTTCTTTACCAATTATATTTTCTGCAGATCAAAAAAATTATTAATTTCAATTTGTTAGATGTGCGTTGAACAAAAACCTGGACCAACACCAGAAACAAAGAAATGCGATCCCCAACGTTGTTGGTCAGTTGGGAGCGTGGGTAAAATAGTTGACTATGTGATAGTTTTCACTGATAACTGTGTTTGATTTTTCTGGTATATTGTAAAAGACCCAGGCGAATGTGTTTACCATTGATGGGAGAGGATGGTAACCTCGTTAGCAACAGACGATATGTTACATCATCGTATTTTTTTGTATTTTATCGTGCTCACCTGACCAGTCGATATCTAATTTTATACAGGTGAAGATGGCAACTGGTCCCCCTGGGGTTCCCCAGGTCCTTGTGATAAGACCTGTGGGGGAGGCACTCAAATGAGAAAAAGAACATGCACTAATCCGCCTCCATCCGGGGACGGTGAAGACTGTAAAGGGAGCAGTACTAAAAAGGAGCCGTGCAATACGCAGCCATGTATGTTCTTGTTCAAAAGCATTTGTACTTCTTCATATCGATGCACAGATCAATGTTTATCCCAAGAGGAGCGAAAATTGAGATATAGAGTAGTTCTTAAAGGCAACAAAAATATCTCTGTTAGGACTTTAATGGCGCCACAGCAAGCGGTATTATAACATAACCAAAGTAAAGCGCGTGCTCTGATTGGTCAATTTAGCGTTCCCCTATTTGCCCATGGGTGTACGCTGCTGACGTGAGCAAATGCAAAGACTATTTTTCCGCGCGCGCTTCTTTTTTCTGGTCACGTAAGATTTGTTAAATAAAAGGGAACTCTATAGCTACAATGTATCAATGTTATGTTATAAAACAAATGGTAAACACCACAGTGTACACTATTGAGTCATGGATGCACTTGGAAGGTTTGTTAAGCACTCAAGAAGCTAAAGTCGCTCTCGGCTATCGCCTCGCACGACTCTTACGCTTCTTTCGAGCTTAGCAACCTCCCGCGTACATCCATAACTCAGTAGTGTACGCTGTGGTGTTTACCATTTGTTAAATACGTCACGGGCATGAACACGTGATATGTGGACTATGAAAGTCTTGTTAAAAATATCTAACCTACAATAACATTCCCTCTTAATTTTTCGTTTTTCAATTTCTTCCCTTTCGTCACTTCTTTGCCTTGACTTGAAACTTTCTCAGTCCTCCATAAAAACTCAGGCATTTTTGGATTGAACTATATTCAAGGAACATTAAGAAATTCTGCTTCAACTCTGCTGACGAAGCCAAGCTTGAAATTGGGGGACACCCCACAAGGATAAGCGAGTGGTCCGCATCTTGATCTCCTGATCTTCGGTTCGAGCCTTGTCCGAGCAATTTTGCTGTGTTAGAAAAGATTTTTTACCCTCACATTTCCACTCACCAACAAGAAGGGTATAATTAAAACTTTAAGGTAAACGTGAGAAAATTTAAGGTGGGGAGTAGGAGGGAGTAGGGGGGAGTAGGGGGGGAGCGATTCGATGGACTGAGATCCCTTCCGCTTAATACTGACACAGGGATAAGCCATCTTGGGATGGCACTTCCGGTACTAAAGCTGACTTTTTTCGTATCTTTACCATTTTATAACCAAGGCCCAACACCGGAACCGCCTCCACCCAGACCTTGCAAGGAACATCTCGACGTTGGTGTCATTGTCGATTCCTCCAACAGCATCAAGACTGGTGATTACAGTATAGCTCGTGATTACTTGGTTCGACTGGCTCAAAGACTAGAGATTTCCGAAGCTGGAACACATATGGCGATCCTTCTCTACAGTTGGGAAGCACATCTCTGGCACAGGTCTGTACACTCTTGTCACACTCAGAGAACGTCCAAGTTTAGAGATGAGGCTGATCTTTCCAATCTTTTTTTTTGTGAGGGGAGAGAAGAGAGGGTGGGGTGTTAGGTGGAAGGGGGCAGAAGCCAGTAAGATGTTCTTGACGTTTAATTAACAAATAGAGAAGCCCTCACTGTGGTTTGTTCTGTTGCAAAGTACACAGGAAGCGGCTAGAGCATGAAAGAATTGTAGGGGGAAACACGAGACGTAATCGAGTTTTTCTCCGCACTTCTTGAGATAATTAATGCAGTTGTAAATATAAAATTATCAATTACATATTCTTTTCTTTCCTGAAGTTTTAGTAATTTCGTTGTTACAGACAACAATTTGGGTTCTTTTTCATTGCATCATGAAGTAAGATTTTATGCTCTTACATTTCCCTCCAAAGACTTGGAAAACTCTCTTCCCTCAATCAATTTTCTCTTCTCAATACTTTTCAGCTTTACAGAACCGCAACATATAGCAGCTCTAACACACAAGGCCAAAACCTTACCGCACATTCGAGGTGGAACAAGAACAGACAGAGCCCTGGAACTAGCAGCAGAAAAATTTTTCGGTTGGGACAACAGTGGAGACAGACCCGATAAACCAAATGTGCTACTTGTGCTAACTGACGGTGACACGAATGAAGGGAGCAAGCCATTCAGTCAAGTTATACCTCCTTTGAATGTGAGTTATCTTTCAAATAAGGGATCGAAACGTTCAGATATATCTGAGAAACCAGTCATACATATATGTTATTAACCAAGCGCGAGGGCCGTACTGGGAGAATATCGGCCCGAGGTCTTGACAGTACGGACCGAGTGCAGCGAGGTCCGTATAAAAAAGACCGAGGGCCGATCTTCTTCCAGTACGGTCCCGAGCAAGCTTGGTTAATAAGAGATTTATTACACGACTGAAGTTCAAAGGGACACAAGTGCGGTATCATTCGGGACCATTCGGGACAGTGCCCGGTCCAATACTGAGAGAATATTGACCGGCAATAGAGCATTTTGATTGGTTGATTTTAGTTATTGGCCCTCTGACT